ACGCTGGTCAGGGCGGTCCGACCGGTTCGGCGGTTCGGGCGGTCTGGGCGGTTCGATCCGGTTCACTGGCGGTTCGACTTGGTTTGGGCGGTTCGGTACCGGTCCAGTCAGACCGGTCAGAGGCTGAAGAAGAAACGGGTCGCGGGTCAGGCACGCGACCCCGGGTCGGGTCGCGGGTTGACGCGCGGATCCTCTGGATCAAAACGACGTCGTTTTGAGGCTTTAATGAAACGACGTCGTTTTGATTTTGGCTGTTTATATAAAAAGGTCAGAAAATTTTTTTTGGTTAGTTGGGTTGGTTTTCAGAAAAAAAAAGGGAGAGAGGGAAGAGAGAGAGAGCAGGGGAGAGGGATGCCGTCCGGCCGCCGCGTGGTCGCCGGCCGCCTCACCGGCCGCCGTGGGGGCCGTCGCCGACGGTGGTCAGAAATTTGAAAAGGGGACAGGAGGTTCTGTTCAGCCTCCTGATCCCAGATCCGTTGTCCGTTCTGCCAAAAGCAACCCCGATCGGCGTAGATCGAGGTTCAAAGTTTCGGTTTTTCTTCTCTCTCTCTTTTTTTTTTTTTTGTTGAAATACTAACGATTTTTCCTTTTTTGCTTTTGCAGGTGGCTTTTTGGCGCTGGGTTCCTCGCCGAATAGGCGAGGACTGTGTTTTTTGTTTTCTGTTTCTGTTGTGTTTTTTTTTTGTTTCTGTTTTTTTTGTTTTTTTTTTTCTTTTGAACGAGGTTGAGGATCTCCTCCTTTTTTTACCTCTGTTCTGTCGATTTTTTTCGGGTTTAAAAGGGAATTGGTATGAGGTGGGTAGCAGGTGGCTAGTAGGGTGGCTAGGAGAGTTGGTTGGGGGCTGGTCGGGTGGCTGCCAGGGGGCGGCAGCGGCGCCGCACCAACCCCCCTGTTTTTTTGACTTTGTCTTTTATTTTATTATTTTATAATTTTTTCTGCTTCTTTTTTTAATTTTTAATTTTTTTATTTATTATTATAAATATTAATATATATATATATATATAAAAAATGGTAGTAGACCCGGACAAAACCGGTGTCTACAGTGATGGAAATATTCATTTCTATGGAGATGTAAATACAAACTGTGGTGCCTTTGTGCTAGTTCAGTAA